TCAGACATATTTCAAACAGGTATTTTATTTAAAGATAGAGGATCATGCAGAATTATTAATAACAAAAAAACATAGCATAAAATCATATTATACAAAATCTTAGGTCGTATCATGAAATTCCAAATTCTAAAAATACGGCAATGCGGTAAACTTCTTCGTGTAAATCTATGAACCCATGATGACCATTACCATGAACCCATGAAGTACTTAACTGTATCGGGGAACCATTGTTTTCTTTTTTGTAATTTCAAATTAAATTTTAACCATGACATAATTATTGTCATTAAATTCTAAACCGATCGAGGAAGCACCTGTTGAGGAGGACAATTAAAAGAACTAAATACTAGCTCATGCTAGCATATTATACATATATAGTATCAAATATAACAGCTTATGTCACTAACTTTGTCTGCACAGTAAGATTGGTTTCCCATATTAGCTATTATCAATTAATTTATGAATTAAATTAACACTGCAACTGTCTGTGATATATATATATATCGCCTAGCAAGTACGGGCCATAAACAGTGTCATAATTGCATTGCCATTCTAAGTTTCTTAGATGAAAATTGTCTACTACTGCAGAATAGCTTTAGTCTGTAAAAGCTGCTGCGTGCACACTACGCAATATGGTCCTCAAAGTTTAGTTTGCTTTCCAGAGTCAAACACAGGCTCTTTGCTTTATCCACCTGTTCTATAATTACCCCGTTTATGTAAATATTCAATAAACTTACATTGGCTTTGGGGATGCTGTTCCTAGTACCTGTCAACAGCAGTTTTGCTTTTTAGGGGTTAACTACTAGGCAATTTGAACGACACCATCCGGATAGTGTTACGAGGATATCTTTAATTCTCTCCACAGCAGAAATGATATCATCCGGTCTAAATGAGTAGTGAAGTTGCACGTCATCGGCATACGAGTGGTATTTGCAGTTTCATATGCAATTGATCATGTCTGCACTGTACAGTATATACAAGATCGGGCCCACCTGTGAGCCCTGGGGCACGCCTCGGGCAACTGTGAGGGATTTAGATTCTGTCTTTGTACCATCAGCTGCAGACAGCTCGACATATTGCTATGAATTCGTTAAATAACTGCAGAACTACTTTGCCTCACCGCTGTCAAATCCGTAGTATGTGGTTATAATAAGGTTTATACAGTCAAATACATGGGAACAATCCAACAACAACAAAGTGTTGACCATTTCACAGTCCTGGGCAGCAAAGAGATGATCCACAACGTCTGACAGAGCGGTTACTGTGCTACGACCCTTTCGAAAGCCTTACTGTAATTGAGGCAGTATAACATGATTCTCAACGTACTCGGTGAGTTGATCACAGACTATTTTCTCCAAAATTTTAGATGCGCAGGGAATTATGCTTATAGGTCTCAGATCGCTAATGGGCTGTTATTGGTGGCTGTGAATTTTTGGGTATAGGTTTACCACAGCATGCTTCCAGATCTCTGGAAATGTGCTTTCACTTATAGAGCGGTAATTAATGTTGCTTTTAAGGACTCAGGGAGAGTGAGACGCAACATTTTCAGTGAAATATTGTCATGTCCTTGAGCGTTAGATAACAGCCCTTTTATTGCTTCGAGCATTGCACGCATCTGCACTGAGCGGACGCAATTTGAAAGGTCCTGCACATTTGTGCCTGTGGTGCTCGAAGTAGGTGAGGTTTGATATTGATACTATATCGCTGTATTGCTAGGTAATCAGATTTTCTGTTTCATTAGTGCGTGTAAAAAATGTAATGAACTAGTTTCGTCCTATACACTATTCTCGAGAGAAATTTAGCTGCCGAAAAACACATAAAGGATAGACTTCGTCACGTCCCATCCCTCACGCACGTTTTACTATACGTGTTACTTGAGTAACATGATTATAAACGAGTTTTATATCTTTGGTGAGATATTTTTGTTAAAACGTGCGATTACTACTCAATATATTTATATTTCTATAAATACTTGTAAATAACAATTTATTTAAATTGAAGCGTAACGAATTGCTAAATCAATGATTGAATATTAAGACCTGTGTTTGAAAATTCACTGCAGTATATATAGCTATATATATATATATATATATATATATGTGTGTGTGTGTGTGTGTGTGTAGTTACAAAGATCATCAACAAAAAGTAAATAAAAAACAGTTTAAATAGCGTGTTGTAAGTACCTGATGTTTTAAAACTAAACATCAACTTCCATTTGTGATGAATATGAGGTTTTGCTGAATAGGACTATCTTAGTAGTATAGTGTTAGTCACAATAACAATGCACTATTTCATAATGTGTCAAGATTTTATCAACATTAACAAATGACTTAATAAATAATACCACTGAGGTTTGAATTTTAAGAAAACAGTTCTGAATGACAGAAAGGTTCTGTTAAATGCCAACAACCGGACTGTGATTACTGACATAAATGTCAATGACATTCAAATAAAAATTGAATAAACAATAGAGGAATGCCACGAGCGACATTGTTTGACCGTAATGGGACATTACAGTGTCGTTTTAAACAATAAAACAGTTTAATAAGCAATTTTCTCGTCAAACATCGAGGTGGGCACTGTAAGCAAACAGTAGGGTAACCGCGACTTCAGTTTCAGTCCCGGATAACTAAAATGAATGTGATAAGTATGATAAAATAATAAATGTAAAGTAAAGAAACATCTTTATCCCTTTCATAACATTTCACTCTTATACTGAGGTTATTTCTGAAACCTACTTGATAAAAAGTTACTAAGATTATATGATGTGCTTTTGTAAAATGTAACTCTAACAACGCTAAAAGGACCTATTTGTGACTAAGAAGGCGACAAAAATTTTTAATTTAAAAAATCTAAAAACCCAACGTTTAAAAATTAAGTTTCAGTAAAAACTGAAAAGAATAAATGTCCAGTTGTCTAGAATCCTGTTAAGTAAGGAACAAAGCTACTGTTAGTCGGGCCCCATTATTGGTAAAATTTGATCCATTCTAGGATAATTTCTTTAATCTAGATGCATCAAATACTTTCGATATTTTTTTCCGAACATTGTTAGTCCGTGTGTCGTTATGGTCACCCTTCTGCGACGAATTTACTACGGGGCGTCGAAGAAGTGACGCGTTAACTGCAGATAAATGTTGTCGTTCGCTCTAACGAAACGACGACGCGTGTGGCCGCGGGGGCGTCCGGCCGCGAAGTGAGCGGGTTGAGGCGATGCAATAAATTGAGCTGAGAAATACTTTATTTTGTAAGGTCGAAAAACAAGCGGGGTGAGGGCGTACCACGAACTCAAAAGCTGTCTCGCTAGAGCAGTATGCTGTTCTACACTGCTTAATATATCCATCAAAACTGAATTGCTGTTAGTGAACATGGTATGGCCACAGCTCTGTAGGCGCTCTGTGGTGATGTGCTCTGCAGACATTAGAAGGCACAGGATATTATATTTTTATTTTAGGCATTAAACTACTAAATGTTTAGATAATTAGTAATGTGCTGGATATGTTTTGAACAGCGTGCTATGATGTTTAGATGTTTGGCTAAGACGGAAAGATTCTTAGACTATTTTTTTAATAAATACTAAGAATATCAGCCGTATCAGTAACAGCGTTACACATTGCTATAAATATTGTGTTTGTTTCTTGTACTCACAACTCATATTTTGGCATTACGGTCAAGGTTAAGACAAACATTAATTAAACGAATCAGTTGAATCAGCTAACCGTTTTAATAAAATTGGCAAAGTGCATTTTCAGTAGCGGATTTAACTACATAAATTACGTTTGTAGAATGAGGTGACAAAAGTTATATTTATCTAACTATATATCAAGTGATATAGACAGACTCAAGGAAACCTTTTTTCTCAAACATTTCTAGTTAAGTACAGTTTCAAGTCATCATATTGAAGTCCCTAATGTTCGGTATTGCATGCTATAAGTATTATGAAATAAATTCGAGTAGCAATTTGCTTATTTTGTAGCCACAGGTGACGTCACTCTCCAATTGATCAAGAGATATGCTCTATTTCCCCCCCTCCAGTAAATCATGGTCGCTACCTCTAAAAGATTTGTTGCATAACGGGCCATCACAAACCATCATGTGGAGAAATGAAATGTGTGTTCAAACATTTGCGATGCATTTGTCGTATTCCGAACAAATTTGATGGTTGACTGTCAAATTCTAGGGCAGTGTGGTAAATTATCTAATGTTCATCGTAAAGTACGAAGGCGGCTCGTTTTAACTCGAATTGACGACTCGTTTGCGTATCGTCTCTAAACTTTGTTTATGTTCCTCGAAAAGTGATTACAGCCATACAACATGTTCATCTTGTTAACATAGGTATATACATGAATATTGTTTACTACAATTGTTTGAGTATTAAAAGGGGTTCTTTGAAGAGTATATAATAGCCTCGGTAATAATTACATAACTATAAATTCGGTTACAAAAAAATCACATTTATAAAAATAGTATCGACACTCATGCTCGTTATAAATAATGCAATTTTTCGTTCTCGTTCATTTTATTTATTATTCATCACATAATATAAGAGAAGTTAGTGTGCAACCACACTGGCGACTTTTTAATGCGATTACTGCAGTACCTATGTTTTAAGAAATGTAATTTTTTAAAAGAATGTTCACATCAAATACATTTTTCGATGCATAACACCAGATAACTGCGTCTAACTTTATCATACCCAAAAAAAACAACTCGCCAGTATAATAGCACAAAGGAAGAATGAACATCGCCAAATGCCAAGCACACACACCTTAACACTATTCGTACACAAATTCGTAAAAGGTATAATTTACAAAAGGTAATTAGATGATATGAGCGAGCGCAGTGCATACTATTAAAGAAACAGCAAGAGTAATCTAGTATTATAAAATTTTTTGAATGAGTACTCTTTTGTTTTATTTATTCATTTCTCTCGCTGCCACTACAATAGTGTGAACTGGAGCTAAAGGAACACAGTCAATGCTTACAACTATTTACATTCGAAGGGTCTATATACAACTCTCTTGGACTCTGTGTGACGTTGTAACCACCTCTGGTCGGAGGCGATGGGCTGTCAGTGATGACGTCACACCACCCACTGAGCTTGGGCTACACGCATTCACACCTTTGTTGACGCGTCCTAAACTATGGTATGACTGTAACAAAACAAAGCCTGTTTTATTTATATTTCTAAATATTAGTATCTCATTACTAGTACCTACAATATCCTTTCTAAACAATGAGATATGAGTTGTAATGCAGATGGTAAAACAGAATGTTTACCTTTACTTTATAGTTGCAGGCGCACCTTCTGTTTACTCAAAAAAACTTTCTTCCAAAGTAATGAAAGTACTTGAAAATGATCTGATTTGTTTTTATAATGACGTATGACAGTATTTGCAAACATTAGAAGGCGCAAACAGCCGAAAGGTGACTAAACTTGTGACATGTGATGCTTCCTTTAATATCCTGTTCCTGACATGCGTATCCGAAACAATTCCTACATTTTAATAGCCATGCCATGAAAAGCAAAAGAACCCAAATGTTTTTTTTTGTTTCGTTTAACTTTGTAACAAGATTTTCTATCATTTATGAGTACGACGCGGCGTTGCGTTCGTTTGATAAGATATATTAATTTAAATTTACTTGATATTCGGTTAGGAGACATGAAAGCTCACGAAGTCAATTTTCAATAAATAATTCTGACAAGCACCTGTAGGTAACTTCTTAACAAAAAATATTGACAAGAAACTATCAAAAGATGAAATCTACGATTTATCGTAAATAAATATGAGTTGAGTTACTTTGCTTGTTCTTACTTATACAAGTAAGTTGTTTCAAATGGCTCGATAGAATAAAATTTGCAAAGGTTTCAAGAACTTTCAAGTGGCTTGATAGAATCTTGTTTTTATGTTACTCACGCTAGTTAAAGGTATCCTATAGTCTTTCTTCCTAAAGTCGGTGTAGTAGCCACCATCAGGCTCCGACCGGGCGTCGTCACCTGGTTTCGTGAGCTTGCCTGTCGACGGTGGCCGCTGCAGACTCATATAGCCGTTGGAGACTGGCCGCCGTTCTAGAGGAGAAACAGTTTAAAGAAAAAGAAAAAGCGAATATTAGTAACTCCGAAAAATAGATGTGCCATCATCTTGCAGATATTAGTGACAACGTAATTAGATCTTTTACCATCTCGTTGGATACTGTATACATAAAATATTGGTTCTAAGAAAAGTAAAGGTGTTTATAATATAAAAGGAACTATTTTTAAGTTTCATGATCTTCGTTTAATTGATTCCCGTACTTTTGTGTTTCAGTAAATAGAACTTTGACGTAACTAAATTATTCCTATTATCTACCTCTGTTAATTTTGAATCATCACATGTCCGTACGGAAACCAGACAGTCAACAAATAAGTTATTAGCACAGCCAGTCGTCTAGCTGAATCTTTGTACGAGTCCAAAGACGCGTGTGCGTATAATAAATAAACTCGTCGTAGTTACGAAAAGAAAACGCATTTTGTACGCATGCGATGTTAGCTAAATCCATGTCATTGAGATTTTGCGCATTGAAGATTTCGAGTATCACAACCAAATTCTTCTCGTTTCTGGGAGAGCCTAAGTAGGTGGAACTTAGCCTCTTTTCTAACTAGATTAATTCAACGTACGCACATGGTACTATATGCTGGTCTACATAGTTTAAGATCCAGAAGTTGAGCTCGTGCAAGAATGCATCTTAAAAACATTGTGATTGTCACTGACCCGAAACTTGATTGCATTTCTCGAAATCAAGGGCTTAGAATTTGACCACTGAAATTAACTACCCGTACAAAGATGGTAGTACAGGGGCATTTTTACCCTACGATCATGAGTGTCATGTCATATAAAGAAATTCGTTACTGACCTATATACTGTTTGATAAAACCTTGTGATTGTCATGGGTCTTAGGCTTGACCGCATTCTTGACTGGGCTGTCTTAATAAACTTACCGTATAAACAGGGTATGATGTCAGACCCCAGCATCTTGAAGATATCAACATCTTCAAAAGAAGAATGCGTTTAAGAGATTGTGATTTCACTGGCTCAAGATTTTACCGCATTTTTAACTGAACTAGGCAAGTGAACTCACTGTACACACAGGGTATGTTGTCAGGGTCTGCGTCGTCTAGCTGTCCAAAGTCGTACGCGTGTAAATTTGTACCTCGGGTACCTATCATCGGCTTAAGCCTTGACCACAATTATTCTTCTTAACTGGACTGGAACAATAAACTTACCGTACAAACAGGGTATGATATCAGGGTCTGCGTCGTCTACATCTCTGGGATCGGGTGCGTGTAAAAGTGCACCTCGAGCACCGTGATTATCACGGGGTTCTGTACTGCTGCCGCGTGACTCGGTGTCGTTCTTGACTGGTGTAGGGCAGTGGCCTGAGCGCTCCACGTACATAGACTCACTGGTGAAAATATTCTGCACATTACTTGGTGTTACAATTTTTTTGGTAGGTAACAAAAAGTGGTGTTGAAATATCCCCGCTGAGAATTCGATTGTCTGGATGATATTTTTGTGGATTTATTGAGCTTTAAAAAGCATTAGAAGCAATTTAAGGTTTTTTTTAAAGGTTTTTAACCTTTTAAATGTTAATTGTGATTAATCCCAAAATAGAAATTTCTAAATAAATTCCAAATTAGTTTTCTCTCCATATCCAATTATCACTTAGTAAAGTAAATATTTAAACGAGACCCATGAAAATATTTCTAACACGGTCGTTTCTTCCAACTGCGGTAATATTTCTGCTGCACAATTACCTTAAAGGTGCATGTTTGGCCGGCAAGTTCCGATGCCTCGCAACATGCTTTCGGTATAATACAGCTAAAACCCCGCACACTGCCGTCGCCAGGAGTGCAGACATGGCAGCTATGGATGCTAGCACCGGTGACATCCCAAGTGTGTTACTTTCCCCTAGAAAAAAATCATAAATATTGTACAATATTTAAAAACAGGCGGAACTCTGATCTCTATTGACTTCAAACATTTGTTAAAGTTTCAGTGATAGGCACTAGAAGTAGCAGTGCTCTTCTGCAAGGACAAATTCACTTTTCACCTCGGAATTCGTGGTGGAATTTTAAATTAGATCACAATTTTTAAATCACCGAATTCCGTGGTGAAAAGTTAGTTTGTCCAGAATAAGTATTACAGGTTTAATCATTTTAGATTCGATTTAGAAATTTTAGTCAAAGTAGCCCTTGGTGAATCTACTATATTTTATTGCAGAAATGAAAATTTTCATTGAAATAATAAAATTTTACAAATTAAAAGTCATTCAGAAGGTCTTATTGGCAATAAGTAAAAGATACCTACTCATTTTGTGAAATTCAATTTCGAAAGATATTTAAATTTTAACAAGTGGCAACCTATTTACTTAAGGGCTTGCTATCGACCTAGATGAATCTAGTTAAAATTTCTTTGGATATTTTACTTATATAATTTAGTAATTAAATGTCTTCATACTATTTTTAAGGGTTTAGAACCCAAGGGATGATAAAGTAACATTTTAACTGACCAATCCTTACAGTAGTCTTGGTTACTTTACCGTTATCACTGAAAGGATAGTAGTTCTCCTGAGGATTTACTCATTTCTGATTCTATCGCGCAGGGATCTCTGTCTCATGAATCCTTTAAAAATCCAGTAACGTACAATAGTGTTGTTAATAATTTATAAGTATTAGTATAAGATACTTTCGTAGTAAAAGACATAAAAAAAGAACTGATAATAGTGTAGCGCTTAAGAGGACTAATTGTTAAAATATCAAAATAAACCAAATGATTACTATTAACAAATGCATATAATTAAAAAGCGTAACAAATTAAGTCCTTCAATCCGTAACGAGAAAATTGATACAACTCCACTAATTAATTCAGATTCACAAATGAGGATGAAGTAAAGTTATGGACTCGAAAGCTGTTTTACAATTCCCCGACTCGTTGATAGTACAAACGAATGTTTTATTTACGGCCCTGCCCCTTGTGTATTTCGAATGTTTTTCCAGTGATTACAAAAGTTACTTGGTGAGTTTAACTTGGTAATCCCGAATGTATTAGGACGTGATATTTCACTGTTTTCTATTCCGAATCCGTTGTTAATTTCGAATAAACAGCTTTAAGGTTTTCTTGGAATTTTCACCGAACTCGTATAATACGGGTTATTTTAATTACATAGGTATATGTGAAGTATATTTTGTGTGTGGCGAAATTATTGGTGGTCTTTTCTAAGTATATTCTTTATATATCAAGCAGCTCAATTGATATTGTAGTATTTTTTATTAAAATTTAATTTAGATTGTCTCAAAACTAATTACTAGTTAGTTTGCAACTCTGATAAGTTCCAAATAATTTCGTAAAGCCAGTTAACGTACTTAGTCGAAATTATGCTGTTGCATTTTTAACGTTTTTGAGTTGGAGTACAGTGCAAATTAAGTAATTTTATTCTGCAATGGTAGCGTGACCAAGGCGTCATTACTACGAACTAGGTAATGTGATTCAAGCGTATTAAAGGATCGACATCACGAACTATTGTAAGCTTCGTTCCGATTTATTACTGGAATGTTAGGGTTTAGATCTAAATAACAGCTTACTTGGAATCCGTTTGCAAAGTATACACACCTATATAAACTTTATACCTACTAATTTTCTGCACCATTCCCCGTAAGTTAGTTCTTTTTGTGAAACACTTACGGCCTTACTACAGAACGCAGACTAAAGTTAAACTTGGACTAAAACTGATGTCGTCACTTTAGTTTGCTAAAAAAAAACAAAATTAGGTTTAAACCAAGACTAACTCAAGTCCGCGTTTTGTAGTAAGGTAAGGTTTACTATAGGTTTATGCTTATCTTCTTAATTCTAAATACTATTAAATTATCAATTAAAATTTAATCCAATTGAGTTTTCTTTATGTATTTGTTTGACCGTAAATACAATATCAATTAATAAGAATTACACAGACTTTTTAAAAAGATTTAAGAAACACTACACATTATTATCATGTTTATTTGTTCATGGGTCATAAATCATAATTCAGAGAGTAAATTTTTCCGATTTTTATTCCTTGCGTGGTTCTTTATTTCAGGAACAATAATGATAAATAACTATTCAACATAGATGAAAACAAGGAATCATGAGTAATTTGAAAATTTTCATTTCTATTTTTGATCTTTGACGATCATATACCTTGTTTATTTGAAGTAAAGAGCTCTATACTATATCCTTACCGTGGTGCTACTATTTGTATTAATTATGATTTTCACTTTACTCACCAGTGAATTTAGCTTGTCCTTTAAGAGTGACAGCTTCAATAGTGGTAACATCACTCCTTCCTTTTGCATTCACAGCATAAAGGTCTATTCTGTAGCTCACTCCAGGAGGCAGTCCACGAATTTCAAAATAGGGCGGAGTACGGTTCGTAGAAACGTTGTATCGAACCTGTGCAAAGAATTCAGAATATAATTTACCTACTTAGCCGTTAACATTAGAAAAAAATGTTGTTCAGCCATTCTTAGAAGTTTCTAGAGTCTTCACAACACCTATGGTAGATAGTCAACTATTTTAAATGTATCATGTAACTATTCATGAACCATAATCTAAAGAGTATAAACACGCTTTCATATTGCGAGCTTCAAGTAAAACCAAATGACCGTATTATAAAAACCATCCAAGCTAGGAATTTCAATAGCATAAAGGATGCATTAGTGAAACTCAACTTTAAAATGCTAATGGAGGAAAGGAACCTCGGAAAAGTGCCATTATAAATTTATATCTTTTCGTACATAGAAAAGATGTTATGACATTACCTACGTTGTGGGATACGAAGCAAACTTCTAAAACACGTTTATATGAGTTTCCAAACTATAACATATTCTGAACTACTCTAGATATACGAGGAACTCTCCAGTATAGCTGAAAATCTGATAGAAGTTGTGTTAAAGAGAAAAAGTTTTTAATTTATGTAGTTGTCGAGTCTGTTAAACGATGCAACAGCAGCATGTACTGTGGCTCCAAATTTTTATTTAACATTAACATAAATACGAATAACATTATGTATTTACAAGTCTTGGTGTCGCATTCAAAATATCAAAAGAGTTCGATTTGATCATAAAAAATATTTGAGCTGCAATGAAAAGTATCTTTAACTGGATTTAAAGAGAAAGGGATTCATTATTAAAATATTTTTTTAATTTATTTGCGTTTGCGTCTATTTATGAGACTTTGAGAGACAATGGAACTCCTCAATGTCAAATAATACAGAATCATATTCATTTGGCTTTTGTATAAAATCATCACCAGCTTATGAATGACCCTCGGGCATAGGTCGTCCCATTGGTGGGTGTCAACGACTGCAGATACAGCTAGGAATAATGGCTTGACATGCCTTCTGAAGCACGGAAGAGCTCGAGATTATTAATTTTTTGGTCACCCATCCTATGACACGGCAGTACGAACTTTACTGAACTTTCACAATCGCAGACCGCACGTACTAGCCACTGGAAGTACTCCGTCGTACTTTAAAACTAAACATTACTTACCGTCAATGAAGGTAATTCCAATAATTCCATGAGGAAAGTCTGGGGGAGCCCACCATCAAAGTTCTCAACGCACTCCACAATAATGGAGTCGATACTTTGGTTAGCTACTGAGCAGTTTTGCAAGTGGAACGGTCGACCTTTGACAAAACAAAAATATACTTTCAAAACTTCGAGGGTTTAGGGCATGATAAAGAAGAAAATATTGTTTACTTTGGAATTTACATGTCAAAGCAGAAATTAGGCAACAAAAGCTTTCACAAAAAAATTGTATTGTAAGGTTTGTATTTTTATGAATGGACAAAAAGATATCAGGCAGATTTGATATTCCAAATTTTGATGAACTTTCTATATTTAGACAAGTGTCTTTTGAGAATTGTATGAGTTGGTAAAGATACGTATTGTTTAATTTTATGCTAATTGCTTAGGGTTTTAACTTACCAGCAGCCACTAACTGGAAGAGGCACGGAACCTTCTGTTGTCCAACAACGTTCGCACCAAAACATGCTAGGGTTCCATACTCCATATCTGTTGTTGGTGTATAATTTAGGGTTGACGTATGACCATGACTGCTGTATAACCTGCATAAGAAATCTTATAATCAAACTAGAGTATTGAAATCGCAATACAATTTTACAGAACAATAGTAACGACAGACTGAAGATCAGACTCGCTTATGAAGAGGTTCCAGATTTAACAGAACACCATTATAATTTTTATTATATTTAAGATTTCAGTGTTTGACAGTGTTTAATCACAATCGCACCTGATGTTAAGCAACGATCTGAACTAAGCTGAAGCACGCAGGCTCAAATAGTTTGATGACATCCGTCACGGAGTTTGGGCTAGGCTAATTGGTCTTAGTGTTTTTTTTTTATTATTTATTAAATAGGGCCTGATTATAATTTCAATATTCAATATAAATCAGATTATTATTACAAGCTGAACAACAAAAGTTATACATTTGACTCTTCAGAATCGAGGGTCTACTCTGCTAAGTTTACAAAATACTTCAAACGTAACTATGGTACGCATTGTATTTTGCGGGTCCTACTTACCGAGGGGGTATTTCTGTCTGTTCCCCGGAATTGTTGAAGGTCCAGTGAAAGGAGACGAGAGCCGGGTTGGCATCGACAGAGCAGTGTAATGAAACCGTCTCGTGTTTCAAAGCACCAAATAGTTCGCCGTCCCTTTTCTCCGCACATACAGGAGCATCTATTGAAGTATCAGGTGTTTATTACATAATGGTATTTTAGTATTGTTTTCAAAATAATTACAAATGAAATGAAGAGTTTAGCATGGGCCCAGCAAGCTAAGATTTGAATTATTATTATGCTATATTACAAACTCTTTCTTACGTATCAGTTTATATAGGTAGTTGTTTGACTGACTACTCATTTAAGTGGCGTTTGGGAGCTTTCTGCATTTAAATAATAGGTAGTTTTAGTTATATTTCTTTATTTTTTAAGTAAAAAACTGCTAGATGTTTAAATCGAAGGAAAATTTTACAATAAAACTAGCTGATCCATCGAACTTCGTAGCGCCTTAAAAATAGGGGCTGGTGGTAGAAGGGTGAAAATTTAGGGTAGTACCTATGAATTTTTAATGACGAACCATAAAAAATAAAAGTTTTGTCCAAAAAAAATGTTGGGAGTGGACAACCCTTGGGGTATGAAAAACAGATCGTAGCCGATTCTTAGATCTACTGAGTATGCATATAAAATTTCATACAATCGGTCAAGCTGTTTCGGATGAGTATAGTAACTTATATTGTGGCACGAGAATTTTATATATAAGATAATCCACGCGGACCAGGCAGTACCAGATGGGACTCGAACCCGCACCATCTGCTGTCCGGGCAGTAAATGACCATTGTGCTACAAGGGCCCTGATGCCCGTGCTGAACTTTCTCTAGTATTTCTTAGGCTGTAAGGCAGCGCCACCTCTTCGCATTGTAGGTAACCCATAATGTCAAAAGAATACCTTTACAAATATTAAACATTAGAATGAAGAAATAGCAGTTTTAGTTACATAATATGTTTATTTTAGTTAAATCAGTATTTTTCTTCATTTTAATACTATATTTGATATTAAAAAAAATCATATACTTACACATATAAAAATACATTGCAAATACGCAAATTTTAGTCTATTCATATGTAAATATTAAACTTTTTCACAGTAAATTTGTGAACTTAATATAGATGTAAAAGATTGATAACATTTATTGGCTCTACAAAAAGAGGAAGAGAAAATTTGTATAGTTCCAAAATCTATTGAGACTTTAATAACAAGCGCTTTCATAAGAATGCCGAGCCAAGCACCCCGACTAAGTTATAACGACGAGGTCAAACTCTGCTAAAATAACAGAAGAAACTATTAAACTTTAACGCAGATTGATATCTTTAACTTTGTCCTGAAATCCCCCACTGTAATTTTGACTTGGAAGATAATTACTTTGGCTTAATGAGAAAATTTATATCTGGGGGACATCAGATGCCTGGTAATAAATGCAAATTTTTATACTGCAAACTGCTTGCTTTGCGTTTATGATGTTAGAAGGATGGAAGAGGACATTAAAACAACTAGCAATAAGGGGAAACACAACGTGTAGTGATAAAATAATGGAAAATATTTTTAATGAGCTATACATGAAATATAAAAGTCTAAGTAATCTATTTAAGTCAATTAATATAAATACTAATGACAAAGGTGTTTTGATAAATAAAAACAACTCCACTAAATACTTTAATTTGATTTATGTTTTTCAGCAATTACATGTTGTGATTCTCACCAACTTGGAAACTCTTTATAAAAATTGATATTAAGTGTCCCACATTCTTTGGTGAGAATCGAAAGTAGAAGTTACTTTATATATGTTCATATTAAACAATGTATACATGCAGTTCAATGTTAAAAAAAATATAATAGCGATATAAGTTGCGCTATTTTCATTTATTTGCATGGTACACTTGATATCAGAAAACCCACCAATCCATAGATCACAAATTTAAGCTTTATATTTGATATTATTATTCTGATAAATTATTATTTTACTTACATCTGACAAGGAGGGTAACAGGATTGCTAGTTCCTTTCCCTTCGCTATTAGCAGCCATGCAGGTGTAGTCACCTGCTGCAGCCCTTGTCACACTTTGCAGTACTAGACTTTGAGCACTGAGGATTACGCCTGCTCCTTCATTATGGAAGATCTCGTTATTCTGTGGACAAATATAATAGGGATGATGACGGGGTACAGTAAACGAAATTTTATTTAGTCCGTCAGTTAGATGATCAAAAAATAATGGACACGTATTTTTTCTTTGGACAATCAACCAAAAAATGACAAAGTTATAGCGCGTCAAAGTTTGGGAGTAGGGGCTGGTGACGTCACTTTTGAGTGAATTTTCACTTATAAGTGTACTCAAACGTGACGTAATGCGACTTTTCAAATCAATATATCTCTGCAATGTTTATATTATGTGAAAAAAAGAAAAAATACGTGTCCAATACTTTTTGATAATCTACCTGATAAACGAAGAAAAAAAAATATTCATCATCCCTATTATATCATAACAATGATCTTCAATTTACTAAACCATTTAAGTATTCAGTCTAGCCTGCCATGAGCAATGAAAAAAACATTAGCTTGCTTTCTTACTAAATCCATATCGAGAATTTTTTTAACGAGGTAAAGATTAATAAAAAACATTAAAGTAAATAAAACTAGTTTTAATGGGTTAATGCACGATCTTTATTTATTTATTGAAATTTCGCAGCCTTTTCAGGTCTGCATCGAGCTACCTTCGAAAGACTTTTATTGAGCGTTCGGATATTTCATTGGAAGATTTTTAAAACTTTATTGTCTATGTATGAATTTATTAGTTAATTTAGTCAATAAAGTACTTTATTTATATCTTTTAACATTAAAGTACCTAAAGATTTTCTTCGAACCAAAGCACCAGATTTCAGATCCAGAATATAGGGCGTTATGAACGTGTGTCGTGTGCACGATGTTATTGTGGAACAAGATAAATCCCATATGCATACGGTGCATGATGTTCTCGATATTCTCAGCTACTTCAAAACTTGATATTGCGTTAAATTCAAAAATGTCGACGATATTTAATGTAACTGTTACATATCGACATTTGAGACCGTATACAGAACAACAACAATACGTTTTGCTTTTAGGTGATATCAATATCTTAGACATTTTCAAGATTTGTGATGACATCATCTTTGATTTTTTGCGATCTAAAGAATCACAAGATATAGAAGCAATCCATGATATCCCGGAATTTGACATTCAAGTTCGACTTAAGAGCGAATGAAGAAATTGTATTTTGCAAAGGTTTTTTTGTTGTACTAGGTATATTAATTTCTAAACCGCTGAGCAATATGGCTATCATTATGCTAGCAATTACTGATTTCACAATTCAGCTCTGATTGAATCGTTTGATACCGTGTCATTGAATGATAATGTGAACTATATTATTATTGATTGATACTATTGTTGCTTGCCGCCATAAAAAATTAAGTTATAAAACTGCGGTAACCCGTAGGCGAGTTTGTAAGTCCAACCTACACGACGTAATACTCGTAGATTTGAAGGAGAAGGTCGATCAATCATCGCAGTTTATCTGTAGTATGTGTATAAGTCTATATTAAGTTATAAACCACGGCCAGTTAAGGTATACGTTACATTAATATCGAAAACTTTAGTAACAAGGTTACAATGTTGACAGTCATGGTTAACGTAACTGCTGGACTCTTTTTTCTAGTAAACTTATTAAATCATTTCATTTGTTTATTAAATTTAAAGCATTTTCTTACACCAATTAAGCTAGATTATAAATACAAAGAATTTAGAAAGAGAGTTTAAACATTTAATTAGCTACGCGACATGTAAAGACATCTTCAAATCCAGTCAACCAAACACTCTTGTCGTTCGCCCGCTTCCTGTTTAATCCTAAACAAACGTCTGAATTCCTGCAGCATACGGGCATGTGAGTAAGGAAGCCACAGAGTCAAAGCTTCATACCATTGCGCGTGTGTTAGGGAGCACTGCGCCTGTCGCGTACGCAGAGAAACGTTTCTATTGGCGGCGACAGGTAGCCAGCGCTCACTCCCACATGGTACTGCATGAAGTTTCACTTTTCTGCCCCCTTTACTTTATTTATTCATGTGGTACAAGCGACTAAACTGGAGTCTCGTATACGTATGGTTTCCGAGAATCCACGAACAAAGGGTCCGATGTTTATTTGTGACCTAATGACAATAATATCCGATCTTCTATCTCAAAAAATTATAATCTATAAAATATTAGAGAGCCGTTCAAATAGAAGGCTTACCTTTTAATGATTTTAACACTTTGCCAGAGGATCACGAATAAGATACGTGCGGGCGGTTTTAATCCCAATCGCGCGTCTCGAATAGTATACGTGATGCATTTTCTTACTTACTGTTCATAAATCTTGTACTTTGTCCGAGATCCGCGAACAAAATAAGATTCTTGTTAATATTACACATATTGGAACAAAAATCCGCTGTGTAAGTAAGCTCATTCAGATACGAGTGCCGATCGATAGATAATTTTAGCTTGTAAGTCTTATGTAAGAGTTTTTTTTTTCATGAAAAACGTACAATATTCACAGAATATGAATATCACAATATGAATAAATAAAAATGATATGATTATATTTCATTGTTTTATTTTTATATACAACATATAATAAAGTTATAACATAATAAAAATCAAACAGATACCGATGTACGACACACTCGTAGTAGTTTACATTCTATGACCATTTGAAATATGCCAAAAGCTGCCTGCGTACGGCGGGATCCGCGTGTGTAATTGCTTCGATAGGAAAGTGTTAAGAAGCTAAAGTTTATTTCAAATAACCAAAAATCGAAGTCTTTTCAAATTATCTGGCATATGATCATGGCGCTTGCAACAGTGCCGAAATATCGGAGACTCATAAAAAACACGGTACATGGTAACAATCCCGTTAATAGCTATAATCTTTTCAAATTGTCTTGATTTAAATACACGGCTAAATAGAGCTATCAAAATAAACCGCGCAAAGAAAACGCAGCAATTAAAGTAGTTGATGTGTGCTTCTGTAGCGCAGAGCGTATCAACTATAAGTAGTAGATATTTTTTCGGCGCTTTGTTGCAGTTGATATGGTAACTAGTCGTGTACATAATCAAAGACTGAAATACTGCATTAAACGCTGGATAACACAAGAGCGATAAGAAAAGCAGTTTGTGACGTCACGCAATTGACAAATGTCCGTCGGCAACGCTCCCCTATAAGGCTAAGTCCCATTTGCACCACATCTTAATTCAAATTTAAAACATAATCACGTTGCCTCATGCAACCTCTTTTTGACTTACAACAATTTACAAAAAATAATGAGCATGATATATAATACTATAATTTGAATTAAGAACTCTACGTACCTTATGGCTCAATTACATTTATTCGTTAGCCCATATAAGCAATCCATATAAACCCATATAAACTACCCTAATACGGACGTACTCGACACCGTTCATTTACACTTATCCGTTTACCCGATTTCCATTGGCAATCGTATTCGTGCTAACGACTAAGTGTAATTGAGCTATTAGGTTGTGTCTGGTTCAGCTGTAGATCCAGTTCGCAACCTAAATTCTGATTATTCAAATAGCATATTGTATCACTTACGTCATGAAACCACACCAGCCGGTGCGTTTTAGGATTAGCCTTAACGCTGCACTCGAAGTAGACGTCATCACCCTCCTTGATCTCATCCGGATTGAGGCTGGATCCCATCCTTAGGTCTACGACGGGCACGTCTGCGATACAGAGTTAATCCGATAAGCTGGTTAATAGGATTGATTCGGTAAGTAAACGAAATTCTATTTAGTCCTTCAGTTAGATTATCAACAAATAATGGACTTTTATTTTTTCTTTTGCCAATCGACAAAAAAAGGATAGAAATAAAGTGCGTCAAAGGACATCACTTCTAAGTAAAAATTCTACAAAGACGTGCCGTCACGTAACATTGCAAATCAACATATCTTTATAATATTTTGATTATGTGAAAAAAGACAAAACACGTCTCCAATACTTTTTCATAATCTACCTGGTAGACGAAGAAAAAAAAATAGCCATCATTCCTATTCACTGTAAATGAAACCAAGGAGTTTATGTTTGTACTCTCAAGAACTATGAAAAAGGGGCAGTTACAACAAAGTAGCAGTCGTTCGTTTGTGGTCACTTTAAAATTTAAATGTTCTTCTCAATTTTCTGTTTTGCGATTTAAAATTTAACTGTCATATTTAGATAACACCACTGGGTATACAATCCACTATAATTATTAGAAATTATATTATAATACACTCGACTGCAAATGAACTGGGCCAACCGCTAGTACCTTAGAACTCTAATTAGATTTTTTCAAAAAGTATAAAACTTACAACTATTAAAGTTATATCTACAAAAAGTGTGTTTCATAATTATTAATATGAGTAAAAATTTATTCTTAAGTACTGTCAACTTTGCAATCGAGCAACAACAGCAATGCTAACAATTTGCTATTTTTTTAATAAAGTCGCGATTATTGTTCTTTTTTATAAAATGAGGATAGTCTGATACTTCTTATCATTTCCTTGGCTTTTCTCCATAGTTTTCTCAGACATGAGCATTTTTGCTTCATTTGTTACTTCCAAATACCACAATTGGAAAACAATTCTTCTTTGGATTTTTTAAATAAAAAATTAATTAATTGATTAATTTCCATAAATTTTAGTTCATTTTAATCACCACAAAACGCACTTTCTGAAGTTATAATTTTGATAGTTGTAAGTTTTATACTTTTTGAAAAAATCATATCAGAGTTCCGTGGTAGCAAGTGGCCCAGTTTATTTGCAGTCTAGTGTAGATATTCAATGTTCATTTGCTTTGAAATTTAACATAAATAGTTTGCTACCGCGGCCCTGATAGCCGTGTCGAATTTTCTTTAGCCTTTCTTAGGCTGCAAGGTAACGCCATCTCTTCGCATTGTGGTTACTTACAAAGATTAGAGAAAATTCGACACGGTCATCAGGGCCGCGGCACAATGTAAAATGAATACCTTTACAAGTATTAAACATTTGAAAGAAAAAAATAGCAATGATAGTTATATTTTTAATTATTTAAATTTTACTGCTAGATGTTTAAATATATGCTGCTTAAAAAATTAAAAAATATAATCGTAAATAATTTGAATAGATAATATATTAATAAAAGATGTTATATACTTAATCTCCATAAATATTACCAGATGTAAAAGTCCCAAATATTGCAGAGCGTATTCAATAATAAGTAAATAATTGAAACAATACTCTTCACTTAACACAATCACACAGATAGAAGAAGTTTTAAAAATTATATACGCAGATCGTAAAGTTCCGACCTCATCAGTTTCCACAAATTGAGTTAGTTAAAAGCTCGTAAAACAACAACAATGTGCTGCGGCTAAGAGAACCGAGCGAGCACCCAACAATTCAGCTCTGGAACACTCACAATGAACGTTCAGCCGCCACTTGTCTTCTATGGCTGAGTCCTTTATCTTGGGGTTCTCGGCCCGACACGTCAAATACTTCCCGTCGTCCTCCATGCTGGGCACTAAGCTCAGAATGCTCAGTGTTTCGTTATTTTCAGAGAACTGCAACATAGAAATGAACTTTAACCCCTTCAACTGGCGGCTCAGTTTCATTTGATTGTGAATCTCCAGTATTATGTCTTTTGCCATTTTTCACATTTAATCTAGCTTTAGATCGCTTTTAGCTGTCAGTATTGTGGACATCAAGTGTTGATATAGACAGCACAATATGAAGTGTATTTTTGAAAAGGAATATAGTTTTATGTTAATTGTGGAACCCAGATATAAAAACTTTTTAGAATTTAAAAGACGTGCAAATTATGATAATGGTAGTGCGAAATATACTAACGAGTCGAGTTCAAAAGTACTTTTAGATCGAGGTATTAAGATTGAGTTTTTTTTTATCAAAGATAATTATTATAGTAGATATCAAAATTAATTTAAAAAATTGGAATTTAAGAGAATTCTATCACTATTTTTAAATACACTCCCGCGATTAAATTAAAATAGACAAAGGTCGTTATTATTCGGCGAGTGAATAGAAAGGAATCTACTAATTAAAAGACAATATGAATTGTCTGAATAATTCTAAAAGGCACAATAGAACGAAAACGTCATATATTTGAATTAAATCTCAGTTTCAATCTTCATTCTGTGGCAAAGAATATTAATATCGATTTTGTGAACTTCCGGCGTGCTGTCGTGCTTTAATGATTTTTTAAAATGACATATATATGATTATCCAATCGTTGTCCATTAATCTAATATCTATGCTTAGCGAGGCAGGCTAGTATAACGTATAAAAGTAAACACTAAATAATTATAAATAGAATTAATTACTGATAATGAAACCCGTAACACGTGAATTTTTCGAGCAATTCTTCTACCAGATCCCAGTTATTAAAAAAACACATCCAGTCAATATGTTAAATTCAAGAACTACTTGTTTTATTTTTGATAAGTAAACATAGAAATATAAACAGCTACATTCACATATTATTGTAATTTTAACAAATCTTTCAATTCTTTGAGAATTCATTATGCTGTATAATCGCATATGTGTGTATCGCCTTGATGTATAATTTACTATTACATATGGATCCAGATTTTAGGGCTGTGTTTTATTATGAACTTATTAACTACGAGATATTTCAATTCTAAATTTCACTTTTAATAACAAGGTAAGATGAAGATATTAAATAAAATTAGCCATCGTATTACCTAACGAGCAAACTAGGTACTAACCTTAATTTGCAACTGAGTTATTACTAATACCTTGCGAATTTGAGTCTTTTCCGAAACTAGAACTTTACTAGACTGGTAAGAAATATTAATTATGTATTAAACAAATTAAAATAAAAACATTACTTTATTAATTTGTAGCTCAGCAACGAATACGACCATCTTTTCGAGATAGTTAATAAACCAAACATCGAATAATTAATGGCATATTGTAAAGAAAATTTTATATATCCAGTCTAGACATCAGACAGGATTCTCCTTTCAAATGTTTATGTCTCGTTTTTCGTTTGACATTGTGGGTTACCTACAATGCGAAGAAGAAGGTAATTAGTTAATGCGTCACCTTACCCGAGTTTATTGTTTTCTACAAAATTTTCTTTACATTTATAAAAGCAGTTTAATGCTTTAAATAACAATATGATAGCTTATTACAAAATAGTCGCTGTGAATGCGATCACGGCCTTATACACAGTTGTGTGTTAAGCTCACTTTTTTCTCCATCCTCTTCAAATGTCTATTGTTTTTCCACCAAGTGACGTCCGCCTCGGGGCGGGACCCTGTCGTCTTGCATTCTATTTCGTATCTCTTGTCAGCCGACACTTGCTTTTCTTTTGTCAGTATCGTCACTGAAATCGGTTTCACTGAAAGAGAAACGGACAAGTTAACATTGTGGGAAGTAAGATGTTTATCCCTTATTGTAGTGGCATTTGAAATCGAATATACATTTTTATGTCGAGTAGGTATCAAACATTTTGTACTTTAAAATTGACGTATAAAAATAACTTTGTTTTTATACATCAATGTACGTTAATTATTATTTCGCACAAATGTTTCTTTTATTCAGATTAATTTTACTGGATACACAATGTATTTAGGGGACAGGAAAAGTAGGTCTATGAAGTTGTGTAATTGGAACGCTGTCCTGGTCACCTAAAATCGTTTGTGAGTTAGTTCATTTTAGCAAGAATAACCATTATAATGTTTGATCTCGTTACGTAGTTACAACACTGTGAGGGACATAAAATAATAATAAAACATTAAATATTATTGAGTGATACAGGCATGTAGTAATCAAATATTAAAAAAGATTTCAACTAGAAAAAATATGATGTTATTATTTGTTTAACGTATACTGTATGTTTCGATCCAACAAAATATTAAGAAACACTCCTTTTAGGTATAAACTAAAATGTGATGACAGCACAAATTGAACACCACTTGAGCACAAGTAGCACGAAGTATCGCTGCCTTGTTATTTGTTATTATTGAAACAAATATTTGTACTTCGACTTTTTTAGGTAACTTGTTATATCATTATTTGCAAACAGTAATTGCCAATTATCGAGCACCGCAATCTCATGGAAGATTTCATCATTATTTCATTAGGAATACTAGTGAAGGTTGCAATAAATGTAGTACATAAATTAATGTTTCAATTTATATACTTACCTACTTGAATTGACTGTGATCAATATGAGATTAAATATATGAATATTTATTAGTGATTTAGTATAATATCAAGCCATTGAAATTTCTTAGCAAACAATCCGAAATTGACACACATAAAGGAGAAATAATTGTATTTTTTTACTATTTACATATGACATACATAATTTCACACCACATATTTATTCTGGTGTTGACTAAATAATAACTTATATGCCCACCCACAATGATGATAGTAATTAAATGTTTTTTCTTTTTCTTTTTAAGTTTTGAAAACGTTGTAGAAATGAAAACTTGTGTTAGTTTTCATTTCTTTTTTTCAGTCATGTATGGAACTGTTACTTACGGTTGATGTCTAAGATCAGGACTTTCGTCTCGGGCGGTGCAAGGTTGGTGTTGGAAGCCTGACAGACCAGTCTTGCGTTGAGGTGTTGCCTTCCAATATTTGGGAATGTGAGAGTGTTGATTGTGGTTCCATCTGTTCTCTGCTCGAATGAGTCGTCTATCATTTCATTCTCAAGATACCACGTCACTCTAGGCCGAGGTCTCCCTGGAAACATACACAAATTTTAATAAAGGAATTTCGGTAAAACACAAATCAATCAACGAATTAGAAATCATCATCATTTCCATCTCTAATTCGTTGAAAGGAATGTTTATATGTGTAGCATCGAATTATCATAAAACAACAATAATAATGAAGCTACTCTAGAAATAGATGTTTTTTTTAACTACTGTTTACGTTAATTAAATGCCACTGAAGCTTTAAAATTGAGAAAATCACTACGCATCATCAATTTTAGAGCTTCCTTGCTTAAAGAGAATATAGAATTTAGTAAAAAGGCAGCTCAAAAAGAAGAATGTTAGTAAATTATAATAATGAATGACTGTGAATTTGAGAATTTTCACTATTCTCTGTACATATAGATATTTCAAATCTTTCTGTTGCTCTGCTTCACTTTTAAGTTAGGTATGTACCAATTTGTAGAATTGTTCATAGACATTTCGTATCCATAATTAAAATGCTCTTATCAAACATCTCATTTTCCCTTTTTTGTACCGTTTTAATTTGAATATTTTATCACGCAACAGGATAAATGGTTGAATTACAGCTCGGTGGTTAATAATAAATTATGAGTATCAATAAAACTAGTTATCAAAACAGTAAGTACTGCTTTAACTATAGGTGTTCTAAACGTTTTACACGACTGTCCGTCCATGTGATAACGTTTATGTTCTGTAATATTACTGTTGTTAGTGGGAATCGATAGTCACAAGGGCATGGCCCCATGAGGCTATCCTGAGTAATAGAAACTTTTTTAATATCTGCTTGCGTTGATGCCGACGATTTGAAAGGCCCTGTCTATAATTTTAGTACATGGCATGATTAGAATTTGGAGGGAATACATCGATAAAAAACAATATAATGTACATCAACATGACGATGGTAATTATATTTTTTACAATATTTATTAAACAAATAATGAAAGCCGAGACAAAAAAGTCGTTAGTTAGAACACTAGGCTACATTTTTATGTACTGTAGGCGTTTAATAGAGCGTAGTTTGGATGTAAAAATAAACCAAGCATAATTTTATAGGATAAATAATTATAGATAGGAACGATAGGAACGATAAGAACTATGTATTTAGTGTAATTCTATTTTTTATAAACAAATTTAAACATTTTAATTAATTAGTAGATATAATAGCGTGGTTTGTTGGACATCCGTTCACTAAATCGGATTGAATGTTCTATTTACTTTAAAAAAAGATTTAGAGAAGTAATAATTACCAAATTACTTCCCCCGTCATTGCTTATGCTATATTTATGTTTGAAATAAAATATATTCGTACTTTTAATTTATTATAGGATTGAATTATTAACAGCTTTGCAGATAATCAAATGATGCTTTGGAATGAAATGGTCAGTAATTCGATATTTACGAATGGGGATCTCTATTGGTATCAAAGTAATGAAAAATACCTCTTAAGTTATTTTAAAATACATAATAGGTGAGCACGCTAATACCTTGCATTCCCATCGCTACCAATCTAAACATTTTGTAGAAGTAAAGAAATTAGATTTTGTATCACAAACTTACCTCCCTCCACTTCGCATATTAAGTGTACATTTGATCCTTCATTATAAGGTTCTACTAAATTTGCTTTGTCTTTCTTTTTGGCATCGTATATCTTTGGACGATTTGGTGGAACTGTGGAAGAAAAACTTTTATGTAATAAGACCTTCTTACTTTCTACAAAGAAATCGTATCATTGTTCAACTCCAAATTGAAATAACGAATTTGTGAGCAAATAAGAATGGAATTAAAATAACTTAAATAATAAAAAAAAACATTAGAAAACGCTATACCTTTTCGAAATGCTATTGCTCTTAACAACAACTATCAACTATAGAATTACCAAATCTAATAATAGTCCAACTATAGCGCTTTAAAAGCGAGGGTTAAAATTAACTGCTCTGCGAATTTTACCCTTAGTTTCAAAAAGGTTAGAAAGGGAAAAGCGAAAGTCAAATTGAGTTAACAGACGTGTGGATTTTAATAATTTTAGACTTTGTGATCGTAAGCAGTGATCTGTTAGCCTGACCCTAAAGTAAGCACTGTATGCTTGTATTATGAGATATGGGATACGAGGGTATCGGATAGAATACATATACTGATACATACTTAAGTATATTTTTATTTTGAAATACACAAACACTCATGACGTAGGTACGTATATGAAAATGTTTAATGATTAACTTACTTATAACTGTAAAATTGACTTTCAAATTTCTAGTGGGTGAATTCTTGAAGTCTACCCTGCATCTGTAGACCCCAGCGTCTGCCGCTTGTACGTCGTCTACCATCAGGACTGCAGGTGTCGCACCTCCTCTGAAGAAAGCTCGGCCTCCGAAGACTGATGGGGAGGACCACAGTTTTGGCTGCGTCATAGATCGACCTCGTATGTCATAGCTGCAAACAACACAAAGCTATGATTTGTCCAGGAAAATATTTCGTAAATATTTTTTCCATTCATCCATTTAAGAGATGGACGGACAGTTTAGGACGCTCCATAGTTACGCTATGACGAGTATATTATGACGTTTCTCATTGATTGGATTACGAGGTGTCGGATCAACGGAACATATAGTTCGTCTATTTTCAAAGATCCAAGTAGCTCTTTGAAAACTAGAGTTAGATTTCAGCTATTTTCAACATCTACAACATCTTCGTTATAATCATATAAACTGATTACACTATCGAAGTTTTCATACGGAACCCAAACTTTCTTGAAAAAAGACTAAAGTCTATAGTTTTAAAAATTGGTCCAGTATTTTTTGAGCCAAATTGTTACAAACATACATACAAATCTTTCCTCTTTAAAATATTAGTATATATAGTATAGATTAACTTTTCAGTAGAAGTATAAGTTATTCGCCTTCTATAATACGAACTTCGATAATATTTTGAAGAAGAATTCTTCCTGCAAAGTTGGGAAAATTTTAAATTGTAATTTGTAAAGTTTTTGTGTAAAATTAAATTTGTCTCAAATAAGCATAAGGGCTGCGTGGTGGGCCGTGACTCATTCTTTCCATTTAGTTTATAAGGAATGGTTATGGCGAGTGAGGATACTATTACTGGATACTGATAATGATCAACATAAAAAACTACCATTCGAATATGGTTGGTTATTTTTTTAATCGGTCCTGAGCTATCCTCATCCAGAAGCTTCTCGCGAAAGATCAATGATAATCAACGTGGAGATCTTTGGAGGAGACTTATGCTGAGCTGTGGACATTGTATGGTCAAATAATGATGATCCTTTTTCTATTTTTTTTCTTGCATTTGTTTACCTGTAGAGAGGCTCTCCATCTGACTCTTTGAACCAGAGCACCATAACGACGTCGTCGTCGGAATGTAGGGGCTGGATGTCGCAGGGTAGTGATGCCTTCTTACCAAGCACGCCCTGCACGTCCGATGTGGGTACTGTGAACAACAAACCTTCGGTAAATAAACATTATTATTTCGCCATCGATTCGCTTTATTATCTATCGTGCCATGTGATAAGATAACTTCAAATATAAACCCATCAAAAAAGCTGCGCGGTAGTGATTCGGATAGAGAGACCATAGGAAGGATACCGTTGCAATGCACCTATCGTTCTCAGAACGCAAACACAAATGTCGTCTCGAAAGATCTTTATTGAGCTTACCTCTACATATGTAGCTACATTTATCAGTAGCATGGTTAATTTTGTCACGAGAACACAAACCTAAAAAGAAATAATAATACCCAAGTGTACGCAATTACTTCGTCATCTTCTATCTCGAGTTCCTCCGTGCTTAGAAAGGCACGTTAAGCCGTTGGTCTCGGCTGCATTTGCAGTTGTTAGCACCCGCCAATCTGCACTGGGCCCGCGTGGTAGGTCATGGCCCAATCTCCCTAATCCATCCATAGGGAATGCGTGTGCCCCAGCAGTGGGGACATTAATAGGCGGATTAAGATGATGATACTCAATTACATCTTATTAGACTTACCACGAAAATAAAGTCTGACATTGTAAGATGCAATGGTTGACCAATTTGCGGAATATAGACATGAAAAGTACTAACTGAGCTTACATTCGGAAGCCACATGGAATTTATTTAGGCAACAGCATATAGTTTCCACATTGAACACAATATTTTGGGTGAAACTTTTACAGAAATCCGCTGACCCATTTCGTCCACATTCAACTAAGGAAATGAGCAGTGAGAAAATTACCTACCAATATTTCTTTATAGCCACTCATGTTATTCGACAAAGCCCGCTGATTTATCGCCCGACCGCACAGTCTTTTTATTTTATAATTTGGTTGATTCGCTACGAAAGTGGAGCGACACGCGATTGTGTTCGGTGTTGCTGGAAGCAGTAGAAAGATTCTGAATAATAGCTATTGTCGGCCCGCCAAAGAATTCAATTCTACAAACACGTTACTAGTTACTTGTTATTCATTACTAGATGGAACTGTAGAGTCAGCTTAAATAGTGTTACTTCGGTAATGAAAGCAATTCGTATAGAAGGAGGAGCGTTAAAGTTTTCGGAGGCTAATAATTGTTAGCGGTAGTTTACTACCAGAAAAAGGCCTCCTCTAGGAACTGCCTCAGACAATATTTGCACTTTCAGCTTTAATAGTCGACTAGTAGACAACTGAAGTTTTTTTTGATCTAGAAGTGAACTGTAAACTGTATTAATAAAAAAGATAAACCCAATATTAGTGTTGACTAATATTGTGTTTATCTTTTTTATTAATCTCAAATGCAACTAGCCTATTATCTGATAGATAACCAATACATCTGGATTATAAAAAAGATCTACTGATTTAACTGTTGGTGTAAGTCTCAGAAGTTAGAACATATTCATAATATACTCGTTACCTACGAACTTACGAACAATATATTACATATTTCTAACACACAGTGCAGTGCACAACTCTTATATGTAAAAAGGGAGGTAAACAATCAAAATTATGGCTTTCCCTATGGAAAGCGACAACCATAGCCTAATCACATGCTTGCGATTACTCGTACTCGCGTAGTTCTCGCGGTCGCACGCTGTATAAACTGATTCCGTCCCCTGCAAAATGGAGCCTAGGGGGCCAATGACCTAAGGGAATTGCTATGGCTATCGCTATCACTTACGATTTCATTTTGTGATTTCTGACCGCCGAAGGTTTTCAAATGCTTGACGCTCTTTTTTTTTCTTTTGCATTGGTAACAGTATTAAAAAAATGAACGTGAACCATTTGAAACATTCGACGGTCAGAAATAACCAAATGAAATTGTAAGCAATAGCGATAGCCAGCAATCTCGTTAGGCGATAGACCCCCTGGAACCTTATAAACTGTCAGGAACACTGCAAAAGGTAGTGTTATATCACTTTGGTGTTCTGGCATTAATTTCATTATTATAATACTGTTGGTCTAATGGTAAAGAGTCGTACAACTTAATAAAGTAATATAATTATATCACTAAACTGGAACCGTATTATAATTATATTCCTAGTTGGTTAGTAATGATTCGCTTTCGTATAATTATGTTACGGTATATAAATATGTCCGTAAGGATATTACTAGGTACTCGTATATTATAGCTTTATCTATCATACTGCGACATATTATACAGATTTAATAAATAATCGCTCTATTGATTTACGCCGTAGCGTAGATCACAACATAGTGAAAACAATGTTATAAACATCTTAAAACAGTATTTATATATATTTTTTTAAAAATAATTTGCAATATCCATGTTAAGTGACTGAAGAACAATTCCTCAAATAAACTCAAATGAAAACATCAATAAAATTTAGGAAAAGTTTTAATTAAAAAAAAATATCTACTTAAGAAATTGCCTCTGATTCGTAAATAATATACACCTACTCGCATAAAAACGATACAGTATTCATTTTCGTATCACAATGGACACAAAATGTTCGCCCCATATAGGGTTTCGTGATCAATGAAAGAAACGCGTAGCTTATATAACGTTCGACATCAATTCAAAGGTCGTAGGATCTATCTCTGGCTTGTACGATCAAACTTATTTTTGATGTCATATCCAAATTACAGTTATATAGGTATGTACCTAACCAACCCGAATTGATGGAGGTATTTGAAACGAGTAGGTAACTCACAGTTTTTGTGCAAATATATTATTTCATAGTTTTTATTACAAGAGTCACTTGTACCAAAGTTCTTAATTTAAATTTAGAAGCTAATGGTATTTTTATTCTATCTTTATGACTTAAAACCTTCGAACAATAATTCTATAGATAACGGTTGCATACCATCATCATCAGCCTATTAATGTTCCCACTGCTGAGGCACAACCTTCCCTATGGATGGAATAAGGAGATTGGGCCATGACCCACCACGCGGGCCCAGTGCGGATTGGTGGGTGCTAACGACTGCAGATGCAGCCGGGACCAACCGCTTAACGTGCCTTCCGAAGCACGGAGGAACTCGAGATAGAAGATTTTTGGTCACCTATCCAATGACCGACCACTGCAAAAGTTGCTTAACTTCAACGATTGCAGCCGAATGCGCTAACCACCTGCACCATCGAGCTCCTCATACCAAATCAAAGCTAAAATTATCCGCGTGAGTTTATACTAATGCAGCTGCATTCGATTCCCAATGAGCAAAGAAAAAAGTTTTAAAACAGTTTAAGTTGAATCTGATAACAACCATGTCACAAAGGAATAAAGTAACAAATACCGAAATGTTATTTCGTACTTACGACCCATTGGCTGTGTATTAACCGAACTAATTGAAAATAAGATCTCACGCCTCAAGTGAAGCTTTATTTACCGAGACAGTTTTTAGACGCTGACCCGTTATCTATAGTATTGTTAATCAAAGCTTTAAACAATTGAAAAGGATGGAATGATGTCTTAAACACGACGAGGCCTTAATTTGAATTAAAACTTTGGTACAAGATGGTTTTAATTTAAGAATTTAAATAAACAGCTTGATTTTTTATTCAAATGAATGATCTTTTCATAGTATATAAATAATTTTGATATTAACAAATAAATAGGTCTTTGCTCTTTTAAGATGTAAATATCTCCGTAAATTTAATTACACGAGAGACCTACTAGGCACTATTAAAGTTTGCTTTCACCACTTACTAGTGCCTACATATTAAAACAGGATAAGTTATTAAAATCTACGTTATACCTATCTCTTGGTATTCTACTGCAATCACAACCATGACACTTTGAATTTTAGGTATATTTTAGTCTGGCAATAAAATTGGGCGGACGTACGGTCGCGGTCAGAAAATGTTTACCACCTTAGGGATCATAATTGCATGCACACAACTAGGTCACAAGTTCTAAATGTCAATTTATAATTATTTGATTGACCATAGATTATCTTTTTTATAATGATATGACAATCAATCGCTCTAGGCGATGGACTGACTACTATGAAGTTTTGATATATATATATAGGTATATTTATATATTTTAAATACTTCGCCTCACACTAAGATTTCCTTCTGTATCTATCGTAGGTGTAATTCGAACATATAATCTCACATGCACATTGCACATACGCCCAGACCCGGACAAAGGACATTGTGCAAAAATGTATGGACGCTGCACCCACGTCCGCCACGGCCTAAACTACATTTCTTTGAAAGGTATTATAGTCACGATCATTTGTGCCAAAGCGCGTCAAATTCCATCCCGGGGGTCTTTAGTTATTTTAAGTTAAATAGGTACAAGTACTATAGCGAACGAAAATTTATGAAACAAGGGAATTAATTTAGTTAGTTCGACCATACATAGAGGGCTCAGGTATTATGGGAGTACTTCACAAGGTGCAAGGGTGCCCCCTTATGTTATTCCGCCGCGCTACAGTTAATCCAAAAATCCCCGCATGGGTTGGGGTTTTTTCAAACAGTCTGTTCGTTAAAGTAAATTGTCTTCTATGTAAAACGGAGCGACCACAAATCACACAAACTTGTCGACGCTTCGGAGAAAACATGATTCCAGTTCATCCATACTAATTAACAAAACCGATAATCGTGTTCCAATATCCAAATTGTGTTAGATAATAATCAATCAAGTGACAGGGAGCGCACAATCACAACGAAGTAAAACGAGTCGACTATATGCAACTGCAAGTCCTTCAACCCCCGTTAATCATTTTGTGGTGGCTCAGTAAGTGCAAGCACAAGATAGTCGGCAGGGTATGTCGTATATCTGGTTGTATAGTACGATACGGCATACTACCGGGATATTTTTTTACGATGTCATAATAAAAAAGGCTAGATTTTCATAGATCTATCGATTCATACTAATTACATTGTTGGCGGAGCTGGATGTGTTTTTCCCATTGTCCTTTCTGTAGGCCATATAAAATATCTGTGCCGTACAGTAATCGATCTCGCTACCGGTTGCGCAGTAGGCGACGACCTCTGCTAGCCGTGACGTCAAACAAATATAGTATACTATTGAAAAAACTAATTTTAGTTGATAAATAATAAAACAGTAACTTCAAAAATCTTTATTTAATATCTAGTATAACCTCCCTCTGCAGCTATGACGGCACGTAGTCTATCTCGCATTGATGCAACAAAATGCGCACATAGATCGGTCTCTCTTATATTATCCCATACTCGAGCACAGTGTGATCTAAGTTTATGAGGGTTCCTTTTATTTTGACAATCCCAGCATTGAACCATAAGCCCCCATAAATTTTCAATAGGGTTTAAATCAGCAAACCGAGCGGGCCATTGACTGGGACGAATGTCACGGTGCATGTTGAACCACGCCATAGTAGCACGGGCCGTATGTATCCGTGCATTATCTTGAACGTAAGTAATGGATGGGAATTCTGTTGCTGGATACACTACGCGCACAGTAAGCAGCATCACTTCTGCCAAAAGCGACACTTAATTAATGGCA